GGGCTCATAGCTGGAGTTACCAGTCTGGACTACCACTTGCTGGGGAGGTTGGAGAAGGGATTTGAGCTCGAAGATCCTCAACTCACTATGCTAGGACATTGAATCTGAGCTTAGAGGGCCACAGCAGTGTGTGTTGGAGTTGCCAGTCCCCTGCGTCAGGGAGGTGATAATACATCTCTATTTTCCAGTGCTTAGCACGGGCATGGCTTAGTAAATATTGAATGAATTAATCACAGGTGACAGGAGCAAGAGTAGGAAGTTGGCACCTTCCTTAATGGACTGCCCTGGGGAGGACAAAGTAATTCTGTCTTCTTTATACTGACTCTAATGGGGTGGGAGTAGATGCCATGGCCTCAGGAAGGTGAAAGGTGCCCTGAGGAGCAGCAGATGGTGGTATTTGTGTTCTATTTGGAAGGAGAAGCAAGGAAACATATTGGGCAACAGGGTTGATTAAAGAATCATGCATGAAAACAGTGGCACTCCTACAGGATCTGCCAGCTAGTCCAGGCAGTGTGGGCAGAGGAGGCGAATGCAGAAGGAAGTGGAAGCACCCATCCCTCAACTCCCTTCTCCTTGACCACCTCCTCCACTGAACCTCCAGATCAGCAGGCAGCTGAAACAGGGCTACCAGCACCGGCCTGGCCACTAGGGGAGCTCTGCTCCTAACTCTACAGCCTCACACCTGGGTCAAGCTTTTTCAGATCCTTTTCTTCTAGTGTTATTCTAGGCCAGTGATGGCGAACCTTTTGAGCTCGGCGTATCAGCATTTTGAAAAACCCTAACTTAACTCCGGTGCTGTGTCACATATAGAAATTTTTTGATATTTGCAACCATAGTAAAACAAAGATTTATATTTTTGATATTTATTTTATATATTTAAATGCCATTTAACAAAGAAAAATCAACCAGAAAAATGAGTTCGCGTGTCACCTCTGACACGCGTGTCATAGGTTCGCCATCACTGTCTCGGCAGTAGAACAAGACCTCAGAGGGGCTAGAAGCGCCCCAACCCAGTCAACAGAACCAACCTAAGGCAGCCCAGTTGGATTTTTTTGCTTGTTAAATGCCCCAACCAAGTCTGTGGCCATAATTCTCTTAGGCTCAGACACTTTTATTTTACAGGCTTATTATTTTTAGCTTTTGAAAATTCAAATTTGGCCAAGGCTGGATTTGTTCACATACTCTGAGCAGTTATGAAGGACAGAGTGTCCCTGGTAGCCACAAAGCACAGTGGCAGCTGCTGTCCCTGCCACAGAAGACAGACACTTGGGGAGGAATAGGCGCTGGCTAGTGAAATAGGGGACAACAGGAGTATGACTTCTCAGGGACAGCTTCCCGGCTAGGATGGCTTTAGGGAAGTGGGTGCAAGGAGGAGGAAGGGGCCTCACGGGCAGATCGCCATCGTCTGCCCCACTCCATTCCTGAGTCAGATCAAGCTGGTGGCAGAACTCAGTCCCATTCTCTCCCCCTTCTGGGGGGAACTCCCATCTCATGAAGCCAGGCAGAGTCGCAGGCAGAATCACCTTTATTGGAGCATGACCTGTTTGAGGCTTCTGACCCCACAGCACCCACGGGTAGCTGGGGGTGCAAGAAGGAGGATAGTATCAAAAAGGATGAGTAGGTAGAGCTGAGGCTATGGGACTTGCCAGAAGCTGCTGGCAGAGTGGAACGGGCTGGGGCCTTGGCAGGTTCAGAATGAGGTACAGCAGCGTTAATAATACTCTTAGAGCGTTAATACTCTGGGGAGGGGCAGGCACTTAGGGGGCCTTAGGGCATGAAGGCACTTGGAGTTGGGAGGGGACAGGGGATGTGCAGCAGGACCAGGCAGGGCCAGGCCCGGGGTTTGGCAGGCACTTTGGGGAGTGCTGGGGTTGGGCAGGTTGGGCCCGACAGCCCAGAAGGCTTTGGTAGTGGCAGGCACAGTCTCTGGGCTGGGTCTGCATTAAATAGAAGCGGCTGCGTTAGTGCTCATCTCGAAGCTCTGAAGGCAGGAACTTGTACTGTTGCTGTCGGATCTGGGCCAGCTTCTTCCGCGCCTCCTCCAGCTCCCGTTCCTTCCGGAGCATCTCTTCCTGGGCAGCAATGATCTGAGGGATGGAGATCAGGAACTCAGTTCAGCGAGTATGTGCAGTAGGGTATAGGGTAGCTGGGACCAACGTTACTGCCCTGCTGACGGTGTCCCTCAGAGCGCCCGGGGCAGAGCTCACCTGGGCAATGCCCCCGACCATCTTCTCCTTCACCACCACTGTCTCGTTCTCCTGGTCTTCAAAGGCTGCTGCCTTCTGTGCCGCCTTCACCAGGTTGTCCGAGGCTCGCTTCACTGCATTGCCGGCAACCTGGGCAGCATGAGGTTGAGAATTCAGGGAGGGTTCCCAACTGAGAGTCCCTCCACAGAAAAGCATGTCTTCAGGGTGCAATTTAAAGCAGCACAGTCCAAGGTACAATGGGATGGGTTAAGGTTCCTCACCTGAAGCCGTTTCATTGCTTCAGAGTCCTGGTCAGCCTTGACCTTGCAGGCCACAAGGAGCTGGGCTGTGGAGGCGGCTACCTGCTTGGCTGATGAGATGAGCTTCTCCTGGCTTGCGTGGCCTTGTACAGCTGCATTGGCTGCCTCACACAGATTGTTGGT